TGTGGTATCAGAATTGGAGGAAGGCTCATTACCAACCTGCAATATTCAGATGACACATCTTGCTTGCTGAAAGTGAGGATAACTTGAAGCACTTACTGGTAGAGATCAAAGACTTCAGTATGGATTACATCTCAACATAAAGACAACAAAAATCTTCACTCATGGAAGCAGCAGTCAAAAGAAATTAAAAGGCATATTGCATTAGGCACATTTACTGCAAAAGATCTCTTTAAAGTGTTGAAGAGCAAAAGATGTCACCTTGAATACTAAGGTGTGCCTGATCCAAGACACAGTATTTTTAATTGCTTTGTATGCTGTGAAAGCTGGACAATAAATAAGGAAGACTGAAGAACTTCTGCCTTTGAACTATGGTGTTGGCAAAAAAATATTAAATATATCATGGGCTTCCAGAAGACTCAACATATTTGTCTTAGGAGAAGTAAAGTCAGAATGCTCCTTAGAAGGGAGGATGTTGAGACTTCATTTCACATACTTTGGACATGTTATCAGACGGGACTAGTCCTTGGAGAAGGATATCATGCTTGGTAAAGCAGAGGATCAGTGAAAAAGAGGAAGACTCTCAATGAGACGGATTGACACAGTGACTGCAACAGTGTACTCAAACATAACAACAATTGTGAGGATGGCACACGACTGGGCAGTGTTTTGTTATGCAGAGTCACTATGAGTTGGAACTGATTCAAGAGCACGTAACAACAATGTCACCACCACAATCACAATACAGAACTAATTCATCACTAATGAAACTTCCTCATGCTACTTTTTTTAAGTCACATCCTCTCCCTCCTTCCCCAACTCCTGGAAGCCACTGGTCTGTTCTCCAGCTCTATAATTTGATCATTTTGATAATGTTACAGAAATAGAAACAGACAGCATGCAATCTTTTTCACTAAGCTTAATACCTTGGAGAGCTGCCTGTATCAAAAGACATTCCTCTTTTATTGCTAACCCTGATATGGTTGTACCACAGTTTAACGATTCACCTAATGAAGCACATTTTGTTGTTTCCATTTTTTTTTTTTTAATTACAAGTTAAGTTGCTGTAAACATTTGTGTGTAGGATTCTGTGTAAACAAATATTTCATTTTTCTAGAAAAAAATGTGTGATCTCTGGGTTGGAACCAGCTCAATGTCATTTAACAACAACAGCAACAGTAGGTGTGTAGTTGTATCTCATTGTGGTTTGATTTGCGTTTCCCAAAGACTTCTTGTTGTTGTTAAGTGCCGTCAAGTTCATTCTGACTCTTAGCGACACTGTATAGGGTTTCAAGGTGAAGCTGGTTGGTTTGAACCGCCACATTGCAGTTCAAATCCATCTTGGGTCCAGTGTTATTCTACAGCTCCACACCAGGACTCCTCCCTAAGACCAGTGATAATGATATCTTTCATGTACTTATTTGTGTGACATATTTTGATAAGGTGGACAGGTCTGAGGTTGCCTTTCTTATATAGCTCCTGATTCCACTGATCCTGAGGGAGAGAACCCATCTTGGCTGCTCCCTGAGATGGGTCTGTTTCCTGGAGCCCTTCTTCCAAGGGGAGTCCTGGTGTGGCACTGTAGGATAAGCACTGAACCGCAAGGTCAGTTTGAACCGAAAGGTCAGTGATCCAAACTCACGCAGCTCCTCAGAAACTCTATATAGGGTCACTGTGAATCAGAACCAACTCAACAGCACTTAACAAAAACAACAAGCAAAGAGGAAAGGGTGGGCCTTTCCTCTTTGTTGTTTTTGTCAGCTGTTTGTTGTACAGTCTGACCTCAATGGAATGTTAGAGTAGACTTCTCTGAATTTTCCACCACCCTTTCTTCTGTTCACACCTCCATCCCAAAGAAACTAAATAAATATACAGCTCTTTCCATTGCCTTTGGAGATAGATTCACTTGGGGTGTTCTGAGGAAGTTGAGTCTGGTCTCACTGTTGGAAATGGTCAAATCCAAACAAAGGGGACCCAGACACAATGGAACCACAGATATTACTCAGTTTTCTGAAATGTAAAAATAAGTAGTGAGGGGAGCTTGAGCCAAAAGGCCTATGGTTACTATCAACTCTCCTAAAAACAGAGTCTATCTCCTTTAAATTGTTCTGGCAAGCACCTCAACTGTGAAAAACCCTCTCAGATGAGGGCCACCGCTGAATGGTGGCTGAATAACCCACCATCTCTTTGAGAATCAACTGTGTACATGAAGGTGCTTCAGAACCTTTGAGGTCAAGACCAGGATTAGTGAGCCAGGAACCCATGTGGAGCTTGAGAGCATCCTGGAGCTGTGAGCATTAACTGACACTGGACCGAGATGGAGCATCAACCTCAACCAAACATGTTGTTGTTGGTAAGTGCCATCAAGTTGGTTCCATATCATAGCAATTCTCTACAGGGTTTCCAAGGAGTGGCTGGTGGGTTTGGATCACTGACCTTGCAGTTAGTCGTCTAGTGCTTATTCTACAGTACCACACCATCGCTCCAATCAGTCATAATATGGAGGATTTGGAGGAAGGGTCTCAAGTTCACCTTCCAAAGCAGGGATTCAAAGAGTAAGAAGGGTCCTCTTGGTAAACAGAGCACACCCCAAATATAGCTTCTTTCATATATCTTCAAAGAGTGGTAAACCTGTCCAGAAGTTTCCATTTTTACTCATGAACAAAGTCCTCTTCATAACAGCCCATCAGTTGAATTGTTAAGGGTTACTAAAGGATGGTACTCATAAAGTAGGATGAGGGTGCTTCTATAGTCTATTGAAGACTGCCAATGCAGCCTCAGGTAGCTTAAACTTTTGTCCTTTGTTTCCTCACCAATAAAATGGAGATCAAAGTTCTAACTTCATCAGAAAGGTTAAAACAATGCCTGGCAAATAACAAGCACAGAAGAAGTAAGTGTAAACTATTATTATGACTAACGTATAAGCAGCCAAAGCCAGCACCACTGACCATGTTGCAAACTTTAGCTTCACAGACTATCCAGAAAGGGTTGGAATTTCTGCAACCATAGTTGGTTGTTTTGTTAATTGTGTGTCTTAGGCAGGGTTTTCTAGAGAAGCAAAAGCAGTGAAACATATATGTGAATATATATAGAGAGAAGTTTATTATCAAGGAAATGGTTTACAATTTCAGAGTCCCAGGTCCCCAGCAGAAGAGAGAGAGTCCCTCCCATGTATGTGTTCATTATATTGAGAGCAGGCCACACCCCCAAGAAAGCATCACTTCAATTGATTGGCTACTCATAGCCACTCATCATAGAGTTAACTATGCCTGTGTTAGGTCCCATCACCATGGGAATAAGCACATCCCAACTACCAAACCTCTGGAAATCCTGGCCTATTCAAGTTGACACAGAACCCTAACCATGACACTGTTCTTGATCAGGGCTGCCTTGAGTTTATGCAGTTTTTCATTGCTGCAGGATAATACACTGGACTGTAAGGTCTGTTTGAACCACAAGGTCGGCAGTTCAAACTCACAAGCCACTCCTCAAAAACCCTATGCAGGATCCCTATGAGCTGGAACCAACTCAATGACAATAAAAACAATGTTATTATATAAGGAGCCTGGTAACATAGTGGGTTATGAGTTGGGCAGGTAACCACAAGAACAGGATTTCAAATCTACCAGCTGCTCTGCAGAGAAAGAGGCATCTTTCTGCTCCTGTAAAGATTTACATCCTCAGATTTACAGGATCACTATGAGTCTGAACCCACTCTATGACAAAGACAGTGTATGACAGGTGGCACACAACCGCCTACATTCAATTCTTCCTATTGAATGGCAAATTTCTTAGTATAGCTTCACTGCTATTCGCAGTTTATTGGGCATTGTTTGGTCCATCTTAAGAGCACCATGATGCATACTTCCCAGTCTAATTTTCAACCTGAGCTTTTCTGATAACGAGATTTCAGACCATCCATGTATGTGGCTCAAACACAGACCATCTCTATCCCTATAGTTAAAACTGCTTTTCCTCCAATATTTTACTTTTTCTGGCTGTTCTGTTATTGCTGTTGAGTTCTTTAAGTGGTGAATATGGGTCATGGAGCCTCTTATCTCTCCTACTGAGCTCCAAAATATTGAGACTCTATCCATGAAAGGCATTAGCTGGAGCCCAGGAGAACAATCCTGCTGTTAGAGATCAGATACATGGAGATAGGTAGAAATCCTTCTAGAAGGCACTTTGAGCAGCTTGATGGGGTGGCGATTATCCTTGGGCTCCTCCAGAGGACCCCAGTTCCCTAATCTATCCTATTCACACACACACATATGGCTTAGAACCTAGTTCTAAACATCTGCTCCAATAAGCCTTCCCAGATTGATCACACTTAATTCAAACCCATTCTTTTCTCTGCACTTGAGGACTTAGCATAGCTCTTTCCATTTGTTCCTTAGTCAGCTGAGGGAACAGAATCTTGGGTGGGCCAGATTGAGTCCTCTCTGCCCAGGCCATGATGGCAGACCTGACATTAACATTGAGGTCCATTCACATGCATATAGAGTACCTGGGTGGTGCAAATGGTTACTGCATCAGCTGCTAACCAAAAGATTAGAGCTTCCAGTCTACCCAACAACACCTCAGAAGAAAGTCCTGCTATCTACTTCTGAAAACTCTACTGAACACCTTATGGAGCACAGTTCTACTCTGACATACGTGGACACCATGAGTTGGAATCAAGTTGGCAGCAAATAGTTTTTCGTTCACATACAAAGCTGGGCCCAGAGAGGGTGAATAACTTGTCAGAGGCCACACAGCCAGGACCAAGCTCAATGAATGAGCTCCCTATTAGATCACACTACCTCTTATTAACATACCTAACTCCTTAACTGGAGTCCTGTTATGACACTATAGGATAAGCACTGGCGTGTTCACAATTCAAACCCACCAGCCACTCCTTGGTAACCCTATATACAGGGTCACTATGAGTCAGAACTGACTCGACAGTACTTAACAACTCCCTAGCTAATGAATTAACCTGCCTCCCTTCATGGCCCTTGCAGATGCCAAAGGAACCATTCGGGAAATTGTCCTGCCTAAGGGCCTGGACCTAGACCGACCCAAGCGAACTCGTACATCCTTCACAGCAGAGCAGCTGTACCGCCTGGAGGTGGAATTCCAGCGCTGCCAGTATGTGGTGGGCCATGAGCGCACAGAGCTGGCCCGCCAGCTGAACCTCTCTGAGACCCAGGTAAGAGGGCTCTGGCCACTCAGGTATCCTTTGGGGGTAAGGTCGTGGGTTTCTGTGCACAGTCCCCATCTATTAGCTGAAGTTCCAATAATTGCATGGAGAAAAGACATAACACTATAGCAACCTAGAACAACTGAACTAGTGCCAAAAGGAAAGATTTGCCAAATGCCAGCTGAGGGGCCTTCCAGATATGGCAGGTGCATTGGGTGGAAGATGGGAAAAGACTAGAGAAACTTAAGGGACATTCAAGATGAAGGGAGTTATGTTAGTGTGTGGGAGAAGCCTACAGGAGAAAATGGTGAGGGATTGGTTTGCTGGGAGTTAAGATTCTGGAGGGAGATGGGTCATTACAAAAATGATTTAGAAATGTCTTGATTCCTTATTCTGAGTCCTTTCCAATCCTCCATCACTCTCCTTTCATCCTGTTGCCAACAGCACCTTAGCATAGGAAGTGTGTGTGTGTGTGTGTATGTGTGCACTTGCCAAAGACAAGAATGTGCTTCAAGGCCATGTCTCCTCTTCAGGCCTCCTTGGATCCCCCAGCACACAGCAAGCACATAGTGAGCCCACAATGAATCCTCAACTCCTTGTTTTACCACCTTCTTTGTCTGTCCCCAGTCCAGGGGTTTTCAGATAATATCATTACTGCACAATTAACATTTATAGAGGGCTTCCTATTCTCAGGACTTTGGATGTTAGAACTTGATTCTCACCACAACTTTGTGGGATGGGAAGGAAACGAAAGCCAGGAGAAATGAAGTAACTTGCTCAAGCTTTAAAGCAGCTCTGCCTCCCCTTTTTCCCTCCTGCTGCTTTACTGGAGTCAGCCTGCCCTTAGCCGGCCTTGCCTTCCCAGCGGGAACTACAACATTTTGGAGTTTTACTGACACTCTTTAGGTAACCCCTGGACATTGGAACAATGCGTGGTTGGTTTGCCTACACTGACCTGTCAGAGAATGGCCAAGGATTTGTTTCTGCCAATAATGAAATCTTTGGGAGTCTGATATTCCTTGGAGACTTCTGGGTTCCCTTTCTTAGGACTTTGGATCCAGCCCTTATTTGCCAGTTGACCTTCCTTCATCTTCTGCTCTTTCCTCCCCTCTTACATCTCTACTTCCAGCCAGAATTCTGTCCGGAAACAGCTCCACTCAGATGTCCCACAGGCACTCAAACCCCACAGTGCAACACTGCCCACATCGACTCCCCTGCCTGCACTTCCTGGGGGGTCCAGCCTGGGCAATGTGGGTGGCCAAACTGGGAATTTTGTATTTAATGTCTGTATCTTACCTCTGCCATCTGACCAGCCATTTCCAAAGGGTGGAGACTGTGTCTATTTTTCAATTTATCTCAACTCTAATCCTGGGCCCATAACAACAACAATAATCATATCTATGATTTATTCAACACCTACTATGATCCATGTGCCAGACACATTCATCAATTCATTTAATCTTTATAAAAAGATGGCTTTATGGGTACAATTTTACCTAAGCCTAAGAGAGGTTAGCAGCAGTCAAGAAACCAAA